TTTTTAATTTATATCTTAAAAGTATGGTTAAAAGAACCTTTTAATTAATTAATCTCCCAAAACAATCACCCCATACCCTTTATGCGTTTGATCAGCTTTTCTCGTACTAATATTAAGAAGAATATTAGGATTTTATGCGTTTGATCAGCTTTCGATTTGGAAGATATAGCCAGTTCGTTCTTTTGAAATTTTAGAGTTTAAAAATAAGTATGGTGTCATCCTACCGTAGAACATCCATTATTGAAGGATTTTTTTATTCTATAATTTCCAAAAACAAGTTAAAGAAGATTTTTTTTAGTATTAATTATTATTAAAAAAATAAAAATTAATTTTTATTTAATTAATTCTTCAAATAAAATGATTCACATATCATAAATAATGTAATTAATGTCAAATTTTATCATTTTTAATATTAATTAATATTAAAAAATATTAATTATTGTTTACACATATTTTTATAACAAATAAAATGGTATCACGTTTCCTCCATGTTGGTAAGCATTTTATTTGTTAAAAAATCATTTTGTTGCAAATTTCTCTTAGATAAAACCCAGTAATTGTTTCTACATCATCAATAAAATCGTTTAATTGTTGCATATCTTTAGGAGCATGATCGTCAACACTAAAGACTTAGTTGGTTTATTGTAGACTTTATGTTACTATTGGTTTTTAAAATACTACTGCAGATCTCTAGTATGCTATCAAAAGGTGTTTGTTGTTATAAATACCCGATAATGAAATCAAGTAAAGAAGACATGTCTCTTACACAACTAACCCAGCACTATTTGCATTTCAGTTTTCACAAGCAATATTTTAGTTTAGCTCTACACTTTTTCAACTAGTTTTCTTAGTTTAATTATTAGCTCTATATTGCCACTAGCTTTAGTTCTAATATTTGTTATTTTGGTTTGAACATTGTTATTGGTGTATTTTGCTTCTTGCAATTCAATTTACTACACTTTGCTCTGAATTCATCTTCCTACCTTCCTTTAAGTTTAGTTTTAGACTTCCTTGATTGCACAGCCTTAATTTCACTCTTTACATTTTCATGTTTTTATGGTAGTATCATGCTTCCTCTCTATAATATTGTTTTTCTACCATGCATTTTCTTTTTTCTCTTTTCCCTTATATTTCTCTTTTATTTTGATCAGTAAATTAACATTTTAGTCTTAATTGTGAGAAGTCCTTGATGTTTTTCCAATGCAATTATTTATGGACTTTTATGCAAAAATACACCTTAATTTTTGTGACAATTGTCTGATTAGGGTGCATCTCATAATTTATTTAATTGATACTCTTTCATTAACTTGCAATCGAGTTCTATGTTTGGAAGTAGTAAGAGTTGCTGAGAATCCATCTTTCTTACTTTAAGCAAAATAAGTGGTGTGCCTTTATAATACTATTAGCCACACGACTGGAAAGAGAAATTTTAAAGACAACAATTATATTTTAAACTTGTACTCTCTAATGGTACACATTAAAAAAACCCATATTAAATAAAGAAAAGCTTCTACTGCTAAAGCACATGTTGATTTAATATTTAATATTTTATAATTGAGTATAATTAGGCCTAGCAAATGGGTGGGTTAGGTCGGGTTTAGGTTGAGTTTACTAGAATGATGGGTTATATGAATTGGATTGTAAACGGGTTGTGGGTTAGAAAAGTTCAACTCTATCTTGATCCTA